TTTTAACAAGTTTAAAGATGAGCAAGGGAGCTTCATGTCTTCCATGAAGAGTGACGTAAATGTACTACTAAGTCTATATAAAGAGGCTTATCTAAGGATACACGGGTATGTTGGGAATAGTGGAATTTTTTCTTTTCCTCTATGTGTATTAAAATGGATTTCTCTTCAAAATATCCACTTATTATCAAAAGTAAATATTAACCAGAACAACATAAATAATAGAACAATAAATCAAACAAAGTGAGATTCTAAATTTTTATGTAGAAAATCAAATGCGGGAAAAATCATGGGACCGTAATCCACCTCAAACTTCCACTATCACCAATAATGATAATAGGTTTATAGTAAATCTTCTCCAGAATAACCAGAGGATCATAATAACATCAAGAATATGGCTCAACATTAACATATCATCATCACCATAGATGGATTTCATCAAAAAATATATTTTAGGTCTCACAAAGTGGGTATAGCAGGAAAGCACCTTAGAGATGATAAACTACAGATCGGTACCATTAAAATTGTAGAGCTTTCGCAAGGATTCTTTATATAAAATTTGAGCCAAAACCATCAAAGTTTAACTGCTCAATCATCTAGCAAAAGCCTCAAAATCTTAACTTTTTCTCCTTTTCTCTCTCTACTCCTTTTTTCAGTGTTGCCATTGTTTGCTGCACGCACACCTCTCTCTCCATAGCCCTCGCTTCGCACATCTATTTTATTTCCCTTTTTCTTTCTTTTTTTTAATATATCAGATTTAGGCTCAGTGCCCAAATCATCTAGTCCAAACCCACATATAGGCTAGATCCAACAATTCTTCCCCTCCAGCTCATATGGTGGGCTGTACAAAGCTCGCTCTTCGCTTACATACTTTAAGCTTCTTCTTAGGCAAACACTTTGTTAACATGTCTGATTCATTCTCATTAGTATGTACTTTTTCTAAGTGCAATTCTTTCATTTCAAGCACATCACGAATCTAGTGATATCTTATATCAATATGCTTGGATCTTGAATGGTATGTTGAATTTTTGGAGACATGAATGACACTGACTGTCACAGTAAATAGTATATCTTTCCTGTTTCAAACTCAATTCCTATAGAAACTTTTTTCATCCACAAAGCTTCTTTGCATGCTTTAGTAATTGCTATATATTCTGCTTATGTAGTGGATAGAGCAATACAATTCTATAACTTAGACAACCAAGAGATTACTCCCCCTGCAAACGTCATCAAGAATCCTGATGTGGATTTCCTGGAATCAGTATCATCTGCCATGTCTACATCTATGTACCCCTCTAGCACAGGTTCATCATTGCCAAAATATAAACACAAATTGGAAGTATCTCTTAGATATCTTAATATCAATTTCATTGCTACCCAATGTTCCTTGCCGGGATTAGAGAGAAATCGACTGACAACTCCAACTGCATGAGCGATATCTGGCCTAGTACAAACCATAGCATACATCAAACTAGCTACTGTAGATGAGTAAGACACTCTGGATATTTCTTCTTTTTCTTTCTCACTTGTAGGATACTATTTTGAACTAAGCTTGAAAATGAAACAAACTGTCTTGGCTTTACTCATATTGAATATTTCAAGAACATTTTCAATGTAAGTCTCCTAAGATAGTCAGATCTTTCCTTTCTTCCTATCACGAAGAATCTTCATGCCAAGTATTTATTTTGCTGATCCTGAGTCTTTTATGGTTAAAGACTTTCTTAGCTCTCTTTTAAGCTTCTCAATTTTACTAGTATCATGACCAACAATCAGTATATCATCAACAAATAGCAGGAGAATAATAAAATCATCATATGAAAACTTCTTTGTAAATACACAATGATCAAATGTGGTTCTGTTGTACCCTTGACTCATCATAAAGGAATTAAACTTCTTGTATCACTGTCTCGGTGCTTTTTTGAGTCCATATAAGGTTTTCCTAAGCTTGCACACTAGATTTTCTTTTTCTTTGACTTTAAAACATTCTGGTTTCACCATATAAATTTCTTCTTCTAAGTCGTCATAAAGAAATGTTGTTTTCACATCAAGTTGCTCAACTTTTAAATTCAAGTAGGCAGTCAAACCAAGAACAACTTGGATATAGGACATTTTCACCACAAGAAAAAATATTTTTTCAAAGTCAATACATTTCTTTCGACTGAATCTTTTTACAACTAGTCGTGTCTTGTATCTTTGTTATGAGCTATTATTTTCAATTTGTAAACTCATTTGTTCTTGAGAGCTTTCTTTCCTTTAAGCAACTTTACCGAGTCATATGTGTGATTCTCAAATAAGGATCTCATCTCTTCCTGCCTGGTTTTAGCCCACTCATATTTGTGCTCATGTAGAATAGCTTCTTGGTAAGTTTCTAGCTTTCCCCTATCAGTAAATATAATATACTCATATGGAGAATATATGGTAAATGGTTGTCGCTCTCTTGTGGATCTTCACAATAGAATCTTAACTAGTGGTGACAGTGCTTGTTCAATTGGTTCAACATCATCAACTATAGGAGTATCATCATTGACATTGTCACCATAATCTTCTTGTTCATCGCCCCTATGATCATCATGAACTACAGATGAAGGAACCAGACCCAAACTCCAAGGAATATAAACAAAGGTTTTTGACTTCTCAACATTGTTACTATCATAAAAAATTTGGTCTTCAAGAAACACAACATCTCTGCTTCTAATAATCTTCTTATTCATTGAATCCCATAATCTATACTCGAACTCTTCATGACTATACCACAAGAAAATACATGCTTTTGCCATATTTAAAGCTTGGACCTCTCATCTTTGGGAATATGAATAAATGCTTTATATCCAAAGACTCTCAAATGATTATAAGATATATTTTTCTCTTTCCATTCTCTCTCTAGAACATCACGTTTTAGAGGAACTAATGGAGAAAGATTTATCAGGTTAACTATAGTTCTCATAGCCTCCCCCAAAATGACTTAGGTAACTTGGCATGAGAAAACATACACCTAATCCTTTCTTCAATGGTTCTGTTCATCCTTTCTGCCACACCATTTTGCTAAGGAGTTTTAAGAACTGTTTTCTCAAGCCTGAAACCATGAAACTTGCAGTAATTCTCAAAAGGACCTTTGTGCTTGCTACCATTATCTACTCGAACACACTTTAGCTTTATGCTAGTTTCTCTTTCAATACTAACATAGAACTCTTTGAAAATATCGAGTACCTGGTCTTTAGATTTCAAAGCAAAAGTCCAAACTTTTTAGAATGATCATCAATGAAAGTAACAAAATAAAGATCACCTCAAAGAGTTCTAGTTTGCATAGTACATACATCAGTGTGAATCAAATCAATAAAAATTGAATATCTAGTTAAGATTTAAAGAGTTGCCATAATTTAATAGGAAAGACGCACAGAAAGAAGTGATTAATGGTTTCTGCTTTAGATTGACAAAAGAGAGAAGTAGTAGCATTACTGCACAATCTTAGTTGAGATGATCAATGAGAGGTGGCACATATTTAGTTCTAACCATTTTATCTCATATACTATCAATGATGGAAAGATATTGACCTCTGATGAGCTTGAAGTGTATATTTCATAAGAAAGGTTATCAGTCCCAATTCCTAGCATATCTAGAAAGAATATCCCTATCCCAATCCCATGATAGAATGTGCATACCCTTGGAAGAACCACAATCGACCAAAAAAGTATCTAGGATTGCTAATAATGTTGTTCAAAATATCATTATCCATCCAAGAGTCACTTAAGCTGCATCTTGTGCTCCAAATCACTCATCTTATGGTCATGCTATGTGATAGGAGTAATATTTGTTCCAATACATACTCAGACATGTGACAGCCTAGCCCAGATTAAACCCATTATAAAAAGCTCTTCACATCAAATCGAAGTCAATGACTATTCATTAAGATTGCTCCATACTTTAGGTAAATGACTTGAGTGTCGAGGTCGAGAAATCCATCCAACCTCAACCTTTGTACAGATTGATTACGGAGCATGCATCTGAGTCCACATTAGGACTTGAGGAGCGTCCAAGCCTCTTCGTCAACCAACTTAGACCTTTGAAGTGCCCACAGTTACTGCCACAGGCGACCATGGCATCACAATTCGGATTTGTTGCCAATGAGTCACTCAAACCAAATATGGACCAATTGATGTGGCAGATAAGAAACATGAATAACGGAGAGCGACACAAGAGGCAATAAAACACAAAAATATCTGAATCCTTACGTCTCTTCATATCTTATGTCGATGGCGCCCATGCATGGAAACCAATTGGCTTTTGTAATGCTTACGTCTCTTCATATCTTTTGTCGGTGGCCAAATTGACACATTTGTAATCCTTGCGTCGCTTCCCTATCACCACGGAGTTGCTATTTATTTTAGTTAGAAAAGATACAGCCGACTTCAATTTTGATAGTATGAACTGTGAGTAGAGATTTATGATGATAATATCTTTTCTCTTTCGTGTCGTGTGAAATTTGGTTTAGTAGGTAATCTCCACAAAGTAGATGAGAGTCGTGGCTCATATTTGTCTTCCTCCTCGACAGACGAAGATTTTATGTCCTCATAAATTCCAACACAAGGCAGCAGGCTCTCCGCCACCTCGCATGTTTAATTAGTCTTCACATAAAGTAAGTATGGAGAGTCTGAGTCTGCAATCACTTGTTCCCGGAGATGAGCTGATGGTTCGCAAGTCTGTAAGCTATCGTCCGAACGTTTGGGGCGACTACTTTATCCAACATGGCCGGTCCGTCACTCCAACATCGTTATGTAACCCGGCCATCCTATTTGTCAAAGAAATTTCCAGTTTTCAGCGAGAAGGTCACCTGAAAAGAGGGGTGTTGATAATTTAGCTCCAGCTAAATAGCACTCATGCTTAAACTGGTCCTTCATCGGCATAGTTGGGGTTTCCTGCGGTTTCAGTACGATGAAAAATCTCCCTTTTCTCGTCTATTGCAAGAGGAGTGTGATACAAGGATATAAGAGAGAGCTGCGGAACTGATGGAGCAGATAAGAAGCATGTCCAAGGATCCTACTGACATCTTGCAAACTATGAATTTGGTCGATTCAATCCAGCTTCTTGGATTGGATTATCACTTCCAGAAGGAAATAAGTGAAGCGTTAAACCATATCCATGATGCCCATATTGACGACCATGGTCTTTACGACACTGCTCTCCGATTTCGACTACTGAGACAACAAGGATATTATGTCTCCCATGGGAACATGTTCATTTCCTTAAGTAGCTGAATTTGTATGCTTTGTCCTGATAATTGTGTTTTTACCTTGTCTGAGAGACAAAATTTGGACTTTGTTGTTACTATTTATTCAATCCAACTTGGCAGTACTATATCTACACGTATCAAAGACATAGTTTTGATGATCAAAGAACCGAAATATTTTAGCGCCGACATCAAAAAAATGTTATTGTTAGAATTAAACTTGTTCAAGTATTAGAAAGAGGTTCATTTCATCAAAAGAAATGTTCATTGCATCAAGAGGGAGATTCATTACATCAAGAAGAAAAAATGGATTAAAAGTCTATGGAAGGAAAAGTCAAATTGGTTATTGGTTCTTGAAAGAATTTCTTGAAAGAGAATGATTCATCTTAAATACAATTAATATAATGTATCTTTGGGGAGTATATAAACCCCATATGTTGGGTCATGAGTGTAATAGAGTTTCTGAAATTTGTAAAGAGTTTTCTTGAGAGAAATATAGAAGAGTAAACCTTATCCTACTCTTCCTCTGTTTGATATTTCCATCCCCTCTTCCTATCAACATCAACATTTGGTATCAAAGCATAGGTTAAGCTATGACCTCTTCCTTAAGTGTCATCCAACTCCAAATCCCCAGATTGACAAACGAAAATTATGACATATGGTACATCCAAATGAAGATTCTTTTAGGCTCCCAAGATGTATGGGAGTTTGTAGAAAATGGATTTGCTGAACCAAGTCCAGCAGAAGAAGGAGCAATGAATGCAGAAGGAAGAAAACAATTCAAAGAAAGAAGGAAGAAGGAGAAAAAGACTTTGTTCACAATCTACCAAGGGCTTGATGATACAATGTTCGAGATCATCGCTCCAGCAAATACTTCAAAGGAGGCTTGGGAAATGCTTCAAAAAGCATTCGGTGGTGTTGATAAGGTAAAGAAACTTCGTCTACAAGTTTTACGAGCCGAGTTTGAAAAACTACAACAAGATACTTCTGAAACTATTTCTGATTACTTCTCAAAGATCATTTTCATTATTCATCAAATGAGACGAAATGTTGAACAAGTAAATGATCATAGAGTAATAGAAAAAATATTGAGATCTCTAGATCCGAAATTTGATTTTATTGCTGTTGCGATTGAAGAATCTAAAGATTTGGGAAAAAGGTCTTTAGAAGAACTTATGGGTTCCCTTCAAGTTCATGAACAGAGGATTACAAAAAGAGGAGAAGACAAAACTATAGAGCAAGCACTACAAGCTAAGTTTGCTTTTGAAAATAAAGGAGAATCAAATTCTCAAAGAGGAAGAGGACGAGGACAAAGAGGAAGAGGAGGCAGAAATAAGACCAATCAAGAATCTCCAAATAGTGAAGATGTTGGAGAAAATTCTAGCCAAAGAGACCGAGGTTATGGTCGAGGACGTGGGTGAGGCCGTGGACATGACAAAAACTCTAAAAGGTCTGAAATACAATGCTATGTTTGTAAAAGGTATGGACATTACTCTTATGAATGTTATTATAATCCTAACAATCAAGGTGATAAAGCAAATTTTGTTGAGGAAGAAAAGAATAAAAATCAAGTTTTGCTAATGAGTTATAACAATTTGAAAGATGATCAGTCTATGACATGGTATCTTGATACAGGAGCCTCAAATCACATGTGTGGCATCAAAGAGCTATTTTCAGAAATAGATACAGGTTATTCTGGGAACATTACATTTGGTGATTTGTCTCAAAGACCAGTAAGAGGCAAAGGTAAAATTCTTCTTGAACTTAATAATGGCAAGGAATTATGCATTTCAGATGTTTATTATGTTCCTGATATGAAAAATAATATTTTAAGCTTGGGACAATTACTTGAAAAAGGTTATGATATTAAAATGAAAGATATGGCTCTCTCAATTCATGACAAGAATAAAATATTGATATCACATGTGAAAATGACAAGGAATAGAATGTTTCCTCTACATTTAAGTATTTTTGATCAATCAAATTATTTTAAAGCTGATATTGAGTATATTTCTATACTTTGGCATCTTAGATATGCTCACTTAAATTTTGAAGCTTTGAAACTTCTAGATAAGTATAATATGGTGACAAGAATGCCAAAAATTGATCGCCCAGCAAAATTGTATGAAGTATGTGTCATGGGTAAACAAGAAAGAAAGCCTTTCAAAGTGAGAAGAACAAAAAGAGCATGACATCGACTTGATCTGGTGCACTCAGATATTTGTGGCCCTATCAATCCAGTATCACTTGGAGGAAGCAGGTATTTTCTTACATTCACTGATTATTATAGTGGCAAAACTTGGGTTTACATGTTAAAAGAAAAGAAAGAAGTTTTAAGCAAATTCAAAGAGTTTTTGGGTTTAGTTGAAAGACAAAGTTATTGTAAAATTAAATGTTTAAGGACAGATAGGTGTGGTGAATATATATCAAATGAATTTGAAAGTTTTTGTAGAAATAATAGAATTCTACATCAATTCACCATGCCATACACACCTCAACAAAATGACATCTCAGAAAGAAAAAATAGGACTATCCTTAATATGGTCCGATGCATGTTAAAGGAAAGAAAAATTCCTAAAGAATTTTGGAGAGATGCTGTTGCTTGTGCAGTTTATTTGCTTAACAGGTTTCCAACAAAGCGAATTGGTAATGTTACACCAGAAGAAGCATGGAGCTTATAAAAACCAAGAGTAGATCATTTGAGGATTTTTGGAAGTATTGCATTTGCCAAGATACCAGAAGAAAAGAGAACAAAATTGGAGGATAAAAGTCATAAATGCATTTTGCTAGGTTATCTAGAGAATTCCAGTGGTTATAAACTCTACAATCCTATCACAAATAAAGTTGTGATGTCAAGAGATGTTGAGTTTGATGAACAACAGATTTGGAACTGAAAAAGTGATGAGCAGCATAAGAAAGCTGTAGCTTCAGAAGAAGATGATATAATACAAACAAACACCGAAGTGATTTTGCCAGAATTATCACCTAGATCAGCTAGGTCACATGATTCAAGAAGTCCAATTATAAGAAGGACAAGACCGATTCAGGACCTATATGATGTGACTCGAATGATTGATACTAACAATGATGAACTTTCTTTATTTTGTCTTTTTGCAGAATATGATCCATTAACCTTCAAAGAAGCTTATAGAGATGAAAAATGACGATAAGCTATGAATGAAGATATTCATGCCATTAACAAAAATAATACATGGGAGCTTACTACACTTCCAGAAGACCACCAAGCTATCGGTGTTAGGTGGATCTTCAAAATAAAAAGAAATGCAAAAGGAGAGGTGGAGAAATACAAGGCCAGATTGGTTGCAAAGGGATATAAATAACAATATGGAATTGATTATGAAGAAGTATTTGCACCAGTTACTTGATTGGAGACAGTAAGATTACTTATCTCTCTAGCAGCTCAAATGAAATGAAAAATTTTACAAATGGATGTCAAATCAACATTTCTTAATAGAGTTCTTAAAGAAGAGGTATATATTCAACAACTTTGAAAGAAACTTGGCATGCTAGATGGAACAAGTTTAAGGGGGGAGAATGTTGGAATTAAACTTGTTCAAGTATCATAAAGAGGTTCATTTCATCAAAAAAAATGTTCATTGCATCAATAGAGAGATTTATTACATCAAGAAGAAAAAATAAATTAAAAGTCTATGAAAGGATAAGTCAAATTGGTTATTGGTTCTTGAAAGGGTTTCTTGAAAAAGAATGATTCATCTTGAATACAATTAATATAATGTATCTTTGGGGAGTATATAAACTCCATATGTTGGGTCATGAGTATAATAGAGTTTCTGAAATTTGTAAAGAATTTTCTTGACAGAAATATAGAAGATTAAACCTCGTCCTACTCTTCCTCTGTTTGATATCTCCATCCCCTCTTCCTATCAACATCAACAGTTATGACTCTATTTTTATAGTCGCCAAACCATAATATTTTGATCAGAACATGTGTTGTCAGATTAAAATTTTTTGTCATGTATCAAAATAATCTTGGAGCAATTATAGCTGACATCATTATTACAACAAGGCGGAAGACCCTATAAAATCTAACTCCCAAGAGATCACTGCTCTTGAAGCCAAGGATGCCTCTCTTTCCCTCTCTCAGGAAGGGTCTAAACTCACTTTACTATGTAATAATGGCATAATCCTTAACAGACAACTTCATTACTCAACTCTAAATTTTTCATAAAATATTCAACCTCAAGGAGATGAGGAATTCTATCCACCATAAAATTTTCAACCTCAAGGATGAGAGGAACTCCATCCACCGGATCATCAATCATGACTTGAATGAAGTCAAACACCGATTCTCTCTTCTTTTGCTTCTTGGGACACCAACCTTTGGACTGCTATTAACACGTCTGTCCTCTCTAATGGCATACTTGTCCCAACGGCCAAGTATTTTCTCTACTAATCATATCAGCCTTCGTAAACTATTCTCATTGGATGAGATTATTGTTGCTCCCAACCAATGGGCCTCAGCAAAAGTCTCGGGCCAAACAAGTTCGTTGTCAAATTTTAGTTCTAGAATGAATTAAAAGTCCTGATTCATTAGGCATTCTCTAGCTTTCACAATGATTGTTACGTTTCAACCAGTTGGAAGAAAACCCTCATTCCCAAAAATATCAATGCCACCATGATCATAGATCATGGATTAGCAATTCTTGAAGCCCTAAATTTTACAGAGGAGGAGGGCTTAAGCAAGATATGGATATGCTCTGATTCAGCTGTCTTCAATAATGCTACCCTTCGGATGAGGTTGAAGGTTGTTGAGTTCAGCTTCATCCCCACACAACTCAACACTTCTGCTCACAATCTCATCTTTTCTTGGAAGGCTGATGCGACAGCCTTGCCTAGCAGCTGTAACTCTCTTTTTTTAAGTGCTAATTCATTTCCTCTTTCAGAAAAAAAAAAAACAAAACTGTAGCTGTAGCTGACAGTAAGTCCAAACTGTAGCTGTAGCAGACATATTGAGAGTGATAGATTTATTTCTTTATAGAGCCTTACCCTATGGATTGCGAACAAGACCAGGCTGTTGCCACTGAAACGGGGCCATGTATGGATGGAGCCTTTTTTCATTACAGTAAATTGACAGACGTTTGATGGATCGTTGTCGCTAAGAGTTGTTTTTCTACCACAACTATCGAAGATGTCGTTGCTTATAAATTCCGACACAAGGCAACAGGCTTTCGTTTCCGCGTAAAAAATGGAGACTATGGGTTTGCAGTCACTTGCTCCAGATGATGAGGCTGTGGTTCGCAAGTCTTCAGGCATTGAAATAAGTAATTTCTGCTTTAGTATTATGCCGTACAACCAACCACACACATCTACATACCAAAAATCTATAGATTCCTTGGTTATATCTTAATCTTAACAACAAGTCAAAATGAAACTATTGATCTCAATATCTACTTTGATAGGATTTGGAATTCCTCACTCAGTCTTATGCTCAAAATTGGTCCCAAACACCTTCTCTAGCATGAACCCTTTTGTGTTTTAATTTTTCGTTATGTTATGTCATGTTATTTTTTAATTAATTATTTTATAATACGAGAATTATTTCGTCGATTAATCAAATTGGAGGTTTTATGATTGAATAAAGATGAAGCATCCCAAATTGAACCAACTCATATGAGTGGATCACTCCTACAAGAATATGTAGATAGGTTTTGAAAGAAATTTAACCCTTTAAAGTAAAAAAGAGTTCGATTAATACACACATGGAAAAAATGTTGAAAGTTAAACTAAAGTTTATATAATATTATTTATAGTTTGAGAGTGAGTAGACTGATATGATGAGTTTGACACTGTTTAGAGTTTATTATAAAACTTAAGTTAATATACGATTATATACATGATTTATAGTTTCTATTACGAGAGTGAGAGCAAGGGTGATGGATGCAAAACTAATTATATCTCGTCTTTTTCCTATATTATTGGATGCAAAACTAATCATACCACTTGCAAGATATTCTATTGGACGTCAATTAAAGATGATGGATAAGCTAAAACATAAGGCAATAAAAAAGGAGCGTACAGTCCCTGATGACTCATTCGTTATCTTCTTTCTCATAAAACGTGTTACTTACGAAACCAAACCAGATTTAAGCCTATAAATTGCTACACAAGGTTGCAGGCTCTCGCCATCCTCTCATCACTTGCATCCAGATCAGAATGGAGAACGTGATTTCGCAGTCACACGTTCCAGGTGATGAAGTGGTGATTCGCAAGTCTGCAAGCTACCATCCCACCGTTTGGGGCGATTACTTTATCTTACGGGCCC